AGGCAGCAGCACCCAGGGTGGCGGCAGTGCTGGTACAAACGAGAGCAACAACTCCAACGATAACAGCAAGAACAGCGTCAAGGACCCGTCCAGCAGCACTGGCAACACTGAGAGCACAGCTGAGAACCAGGGCACTGACACTGAGAACCAGAGCAGGAACAGTAACGGGAATCAGCCCACTAGCCAGGACGGTGACACCAAGAATAAGGGGAGCGATGCTGAGGACAAGAACAAGGAGACCAGCAGTGAGAAAAAGGGCAACAATGAGGGTAGCAAGAATGGCACGAGCCAGGCCGACAACAAGGAGACTGAGAAGGAGAAAACTGAGGACAAGAACCAGGCCAGCAACCAAGACAGTAACGATGGGAACCAGGCCACCAGTGCAGACACCAGTACCACAGGTGAGGAGAATGCTGACGGGAACCAGGGCAATGATGGGGACTCATCGAGAGATAAAAACGTGCCACCACAATCAACTTCGTCCACTGGTGACGACGACAGCTTATTAGAGAATGAAGAAAGCCCCAGGGAGGAAGAGGAGGGGGCTAAAGGCAGCAGCGATGCCTCCTCCTTTGCTAAGGAGGGAGGGAAGAGCCTTCCTTCTCCCAGGGACCAGTCGGAGAGCAGCCACTTCTTCGCCTACCTGGTGACCACTGCCATTATCGTCGCTGCCTTGTATGTAGCGTATCACAACAAGCACAAGGTGAGAGGCATTGGTTTGATATAATAATGCTAATCTTAATTGAAGCCTCGACCCAACAGCTTTTGGGAGGGTGTTGGAGCTGGGAAACAGGTTGGATCTCTGTGGAAATCAGGGGGCTTCAGCTCTGATGGTTATTTTCAGCTGAGAGAGGGGAAAAGGAAGAGATGGGGGAAGTTACCCTGTGTTTTCTTGCTGACAGGGAGTTTTCTGTAGCAGGTTGCAGAAGGTTTGTCCTTAAATAGTCTTAATGCAGCTCAAGTGATGTAACTGTCTTCTGCTGGGGTTTTTTTTCCCTCCTGTAAAGCTATTTTAGAGGTAGGAGACAGAAAACAAACTGTTATTGTTTGCTGTGTGTTAGGCAGACCTCAGGTACTGCCTGCTTTCCATCTGTTCTGGGTTTAGTATTGGTATTTAGTTGTTCCAAGTGCTTTGGAACAAGCATTAGAAAGCACCTATGTCTGAAGGGAGGAAAAGCTGATTTGGTCACTGCTGTCCCACTCACCTTGTCCCTGTTTCTCTCTCCAAAGATCATTGCTTTTGCTCTGGAAGGAAAAAGATCCAAAAGTGGTCGACGGCCCAAATCTGGCGATTATCAGAGACTGGATCAGAAGGTAAAATGTACCCAAAGGAGGAGCTGGGCAGGTTGTGGTGCTGGTCTGGGTGGTGAACACGGTACCTTGGCCTCTCGCCCTGGGAACGGTCCCGGAGCCACATAGGGTTGGGGTTGGAAAACTTAATTTGGAAGCAAAAGCCCTGCTCTTGGTGTTGAAACAGGGGGTTGCCAGGAAATGGAGTGATAATGCTGAGACACGATGGCAGAGCTAACACAGGCTGGAAGTTTGAGAGTCCTGAGCTGGGGTGTGCGGGGTCACGGGCTCAAATGACTTCTTCCAAAGAGGATTTTAGCAGGAAAAGGGCAGGATTTGGGGACTATTTTCCCCCTTGAACCTTTCCTCACCAGTTGTCCTTGAAGTCGGAAGTTATTTTCTGCAGCAGGAAGAGGAGGAGACAAGGGAGGAAAACAGAAAGTCACCCACAGCTGAAGCTCAGGCTTCTGGAAGGCCGTTGGCACGTGGGAGACCGTGGCAATGGCCACTTCCAAATGGGATTAGGGATTTTGCCTGTCGCAGTCAAGCAGTGCCCAGCTCGGTTTCAGTGTTGCTGCTGGGAGCAGAGGCTCAGTGCTCTCCCTTCCCAAACTGCAGCAGTACGTGGCTGGGGAAGCCACCCGAGTGCCACAGGGATGGTTTCTCTGTGTCAGTTTCCCTTTAACCTCACCAGGATTTCAGGAACTTGTTTCCCTTGCCAGGAATTCCCTGCCTCGTCCCTGAGGTGCAGCAGAGCAGCCAGGCAGAAATCCCAGTGCTTCCTCAGAGCAGAAGAGCAATGCTGAGCTTTCACATCGTTTAAACCTTTCTTTTCACCTTTCCAGATCTAGATTCCTCCTTGGATGCTCAGTGGAGGAATGACGGATGGCATTGAAAGTGCAGGAACCCCGGGACACCCGCTGCCTCCCCCACTGTAGCTGTGCACCATGTTCAGGTTTCAGACAGCAGGAAGAAGAAGGGGAAATGCTTTTAGTTTTGCACCTGCACCTCGGTAACGTTAAACCCTTCACTTCCTCATAACACGTTTCTCCTTTCCCACTTGCCTGAAGATGAGACTGGCTTGTAGCCTGTGAGCCAGGAAAAGCCAGTGCCCAGCACTTGACAGAACCTCTGTGGCCAAATGAAATGGAATTTGCCAACTACTGTACTGACGTCTCCTCTTGGGAGAAAGAAATTATATATATACAAATATATCTATCTGCCTGCAAAATGAGCCATCTGACCCTCCCCCTTCCAGAGCCACAGAGCCCAGCACCTCGAGACACGGACGTTCTCCTCTGCTGTCCACTGTCTCTGGATGCTCAACTGCAGCGTGTGACCGACTGCACTGGTTTGGAACTAATCCACTGAGGCCTCTGATCTCATCTGTTTCCCTCTCTCTGTGGTGAAGACAATGTTGGGGTTTAACATCCAGATTCTCTCTTCCCTGCGCATCTTTGACACTTGGGTCATAGCTTAAACTTCCTCACCTGCATCTTCTGCTCCCCGCAGGGCTCTTTCC